CCTTAAGTCACATGCATAGAAAGGACTTTAGGATTCATGTCTGATTGTCTCATTGCTTTCTTTTTAAATTTTATGTATGAGCATTTTGACGACGTGTATATATGTGCCCAGTGCCTGAGGAGGCCAGTAAAGGACGTCAGATCTAGAACTGGAGTTATAGACAAAGATGCGGGCTGCCATGTGGATGCTGGGAACCAAACCCAGGTACCCTGCAAGAATAGCAAGTACTGCTAACCACTAAGCCTCTCTCCAGCCCTCTGAACTGAAGTTTTATGGCATCTACCATCATCAGCAACTATATACCTGGTTTGATGTTTCCCAGAAGCTGGGTATGATATGGACAAGCTGTGCCAGCACCTATACAAAAGGACTGCCAGTCTTCCAGATTCTACAGAGATATCCTTATTATTTCTTTCCAATCAGTTATGGCACGTTTGATATTGCTGGGACTCTGAAAATGTTCACATGGCCTATGCAGCTTTGGAATAAGACACAGTATAGGTTTTTTCCCCTGTGATCTGGCTATATAACACATCCTCTTTAGACATTAATTCATCCCACAATGACACATACTCCTTGATCTCTCCAATCACTTATAGACACCTTTCCTCCAAACAAAGCTGTTTTCTCTTGAAATACTCCTGTATTCTATTTTCCAACTACCAACTACCTTCCTTGGTTTTTCAAAATGAACTTTTATCTTAAACCCCTTTCAAATAGTCTAGTTAATGGACATCCTCCAGGGTCATTAATAACTTGTCAGAGACAATAATTCCTGCATTTAAAATACATATTTATAAATGTGTTCCTTTGTAGAGACCCACAGAGGTTTCCTAGTGAGAACTTACTCAGGGTCCGAGAGGCGGAGCCTGCTTTACCCATAAAAGGGCTGCATAAGGGATGATTTGACCATGGGTGTAGTTACCAGGTGTTGGAAGGGTCTACACTTGGCTGTGTGGTGTGCTTTGATCTAGCAAGGGGGAGGTCCCCCCCCCCCCGGCATTGTTATTTTAAAAAAAAAAAGCCCATTTGAAGAGAAAGATGGGGTTGGTGGATTTTGATCCAGTTCCTCCCGAAGCTATCCTGTGTTTCTGTCTGTCTCCTCTCCGCTATCTTTCTACCTAAAAGTTTCTTATCCCTCTCTCTTCACATCCTTTAAAAGGTGGGAGCTGGCCTCCCACATTCCTTCATGCTGTCTACTTTATGTATCTATAGTCTCCTGCTTCAGCAAACACCATGAGACAGGGTGTGTGGCTGTTAGTACTTTGCATCTCACACAGCCATTTACAGTAGTGAGTGGCTAGAACATGCACAGAAAGTGGATGGCCAAGAAGCAATACTGGGAAGGAAAGTTCTAAGTGAGGAACATTTCCTGTAAGGTTCATTACTCAGTCTCTCAGGATGACCCCAGTGGTCTAGCAAATAAGGCAGAGCAAGTTTTAAGAAGAGAAGAAAACATACGCATGCGAAGAAAAGAACCTATAGACTTACCCGAGTCCCAAGAGTTGGGAACACATTGGTTATGCCATTTTCTTTTGGTTTTCCAGCACTGGGAGAAGGGGAATCCTCAGAAAGGGAGCCTAGAAGTGGAGACCAGGAGCCATGGCAATTAGTCCAGCCCCCAGTCACTAGCTACCTTGCCTAAAGTTCATACAGGGGACAATCTCGTAACACCCCCGATACAAGACAGCTAATACGGATTTCTATCTCAGGTTCCTCCTGTACACCTTTGCACTTACTAAAGTAGAACTCTGCTATGAGAATCTGAATACATTATACAAATATATAGGTCTCTTTCATCTGCTTAGTCAGAATAATAAAGATCTCCGTGCGTGCGTAGACCCGTGCCTCACTTAATGATTCATCTCCGTTGTTCTCCAGGCTCAAGGGATGAATGAAGACGGGATTAGTTTTATTCTTTTTGACCACGCACTGGCTTTTTAGATGCAATTTGTGTGGAAACATCTAAAGCATTTAAAATCCAAAAACCATTAAAACCCCAAACCCAAACAAAAAGAATTCTAAATAAAACCTGGGAGTTTTCAAATCCCCGCTTTTCCTATCTGCCAAAATGGGTTAGTCTCTTTCCTTACAGAGTTCCCGCCAAGACAAAAGCCAGTCGGTGTCAGAAGCCGAATTGTCAAAGTGGTGAGTTTTAGGGAGGGCTGGCTGCCCGTCATCGAGACGACCAATGGACGGAGTAGCTGGCTCTCCCTCAGAACCCCAGTGTGGGACCCAGAAACTGGAAGCCACGGGCTCCCTCCGCTTTGCTCACAGCGCCTCACCTTGGACCCGGCTCCACCGAGGCTGTCTAACCGCCCGCGCCCTGCTGCCCGCCAGGGAAGGGCGTGAGTACGCCGCTAGGGTGCAGCTAGAGGCAGGGCGCACCCGGATCCTTCAGCGTGCTCCGCAAACTCGGAGGGGATCGGGCTCGGCCTTCCATGCCAAGCTGTCCTCTCACCGCCTGCAAAGGTACCTGAGACCCCCGGGCCGAGCCGCGCCAGCTGGCTGCCCAACTGAACTACAACTCCCAGAATTCCTCTGCACATAGCGCCTCGACTCCGCACGCCGCTTCCCAGAGGACCTCGCGGGGGCGCCTTCTTCTAATGCAGCACCAGCGCTAAACCCTCTCAATTTCACACGGCCCATGCACGTGTTCCTGCATTGCTTCCAGTCCGCCCCTCGACGCAGGCGTCGTGCTCTCAGCGCACCAAACCGCGTGCCGCGGGACCCTCGTTCTGGGTGACTCTATCCTGGAGGATCGCGCCCCTGACCCGTGCAGGCTGCCCATTTTTCCGCTTTAAGGGGAAATGCCTGGATGCATCCCCCACCGGTTGTTTGCCTGGACCAAGCTTTCACTTTTTTTTTTTTTAATTTTAAAAACACATTTATTTATTTATTTTTATTTATTCATTTTATATATTTATATATTTTTATGTTTGTTTGTTTGTTTATTTGGAGGTACGGCACAAAGTGCGTGTGGCAGTCAAAAGACAACTTGCCAGAGTAGGTTGTCCCTCCACCGTATATATGAGTCCAGCTTGGTGGCAGGCACTTTTATAAAACCACTGTGCCAAAGCTTGTAACTGGGAACTGATACGTGTGAAATGACTAAGGTCCCAACTTTATTTTGTGTCTGCCTAGACACTTCTCAGCCTCTCACCCACGTTGGTGATGCTTTTAGGACTGTCCGTGACCTGGACCATGGCCCAGATGTGTTTGTAGTGTCTGGAAGATACTGCTGAACTCTACAAAGAAAGCAGATATTACTAGGCCCGGATTCCCTGAGTAATGTAACATTAACCTCCCCCTCCGCCAGCACTGATGTTGTTGTGGTTTTGTCTTTAAAAAAAGCTATACCCCTGAGCTTGGACACCAAGAGACTTCAGAGGCACAAGCTCACTCTTTGTCTGGCCATTAACAAAAGGACTCAAAACTTTTTTTTTTTTTTTTTTATGTATTCATTATGTATACAGTGTTCTGCCTGCATGTGTGCCTGCAGGCCAGAAGAGGGCACCAGATCTCATTATGGATGGTTGTGAGCTACCATGTGGTTGCTGGGAATTGAACTCAGGACCTTTAAAGAGCAACCAGTGCTCTTAACCGCTGAGCCATCTTTCCAGGCCAGAACCCAAAACTTTTAATTGGCTTAATTAGTGTGGTTGTCAATAACTAGCTCACATGGATCATTTCAGTTGCCCTTGCTTGAAAAAGCTAGTAATTCGGGGATAAGTGTGTGTGTGTGTGTGTGTGTGTGTGTGTGTGCGCGCGCGCGCGCGCGCACGCGCGCGCCCGCAGATTTATTTGGAAAGCTGGCAAACGAAGGAAAGTGGAAGCTATGGCCAGTGAAGACTGTCTTATCTGGGGACTGCAAGGCTTGTGTATGGAGGCTTATGTACAGAGGAGATGAGAAGCACCAAAACAGTGATACATTTGGGGTGGTCTCCACTCCCCAAATTAATGACTACTAAAATGAAGTCAAAGCAAGTGGAGCCAGACAGGGCTTGTTTAGGTCATCTTGGTGACAGGGCTGCTGTAACAGGGACAGAGATTTACCTCAGTTTACATGATGTAATTAAAATTGCTGTGCCTGGCTGTTCTGAGTAAGGAAACATGGATTTTCAACGCTACAAATGACCTCAACTCAGAAATGGCTAGGTTCCAACAAGTGTTACTGAACTGTACTACCATTAACCACACTGGAGTGGCCAAGGTAACCCTTTCTTGTCCTGGCTCCTACTTTTCAGCCCCAACTCCTTGAATAGTCATTTCTGCCTTTGTCAACATGATGGTTAACATTACGTTTAAGGTTTAGACTTATTATGCTTGAGAGATCAAAAAGAAAAAAAAATTCCTCCAACATTTGAGCCCCTAACTTATACAGGCTACACCCTAGCAGCCCACTTCTTTCCAGACATTGAAAACTATTCTTAAATTGACTGATCTTGTAAAATTTGCTGTTTTAGCAAGATAGTAGGTCACAAGAGTAACTGCTATTTCTGCTTTTGTAATCAAACTTGCTTACTCTATTAAAAAAGATTACTAGGACAACTGCAAGACATTTATGTTGAAAACTAGACCCTGCCTACATGTAGACAAAATATATGTCATCTTGTGAGTTTTGCTTTTATAAGCCCTGGGCTGTTATAGCTAGGTACTACATTTTGGGAATGTTCTCAGGTGCAGTCCTGGCCCCACATTGACTCCAGTATCTTAAATTAAAAGCCTCTCCTTATTAAAGTTTATTTATTGTCATGGTAAATCTCTGAGCAACCCCAGACCCTTAACATCACCACATTCAAGACTTTTCCTTGATCCAGACCATGGCCTAGTTGTATAACCAAAACAACTGTGTTCTACTAAAACAGATGTTACCAGGTTCTCCTGACCTATACCTGACAATGGTATCATTATGGTTTTTGCCCACATTGTATACCAGGACTTCAGTGCTGAGAGTTCTTTGGGGACAAGAGCCTCCTCTTGGTCACTGCTGATAAAGGACTGAAATTAGGGTTTATATGCATGGTAGTTTGCTACTTTCTCCCCTGAACTATATCAATATATAACTATATATAACAATATATAACTATGCATAACAATATATAACTATGTATATATAAAACTATATATAACGATATATACCTATATATATATAAAACTACATATATAACTATATAAGTATATATAATAAAATATAACAATATATAACTGTAACAATATACCTACAAGAGCTCTGGGACTCTGTAGATGGTGAATCTTCAGCTAGCATATTCTCATCTATCTTCCTACAGGAAACTAGCCAATTTGATAGCCAATTTATATTTACAGAAGAAAAAATTTGATCTACCCATGTATTTGGGAACAAACCATAATGTCAAATGCCATTTCTTCAATGGCCAAATCTTAGATCTAATGCTTCTTAGATTAAAACTCCCTTTTGTCATTATTTCTCTTCCTGTCAGTGGGCTGAGAACAAAAGTGCTTCTTAGGAGTTCCACGCGTCCTTCTCCATGCTGGCTGGACCACAAGGAAGTTGTCAGGGTTCACACGCATAAACATGGCAAACCAACGAGACAGAGTGGAAGTGTTACTAGTTTGGGAAAAATATCATTAACCAGGCCTTATCACTTACTGCCCCCCCAACACCCCCACCCAAAAAAGGTAAGAAAAGTAAAAAGTCAGTCAGATGTAAACAAATAAACAAATAAATAAAAAGAAGTCAGATGTAAAAGCTGTCTTTGGGTATGGGAGGTAGTAGCTGTGGGCTATAAAGGGGAAAGAACAAAGGGAAAACTGCGGGTCTGCACAGCTAGTGACCACAGGCTGCAAACTCATTGACCAATAGCCTGGGCTGACGGCAGGGTCTTACAAGCACCAGAGATTGCTGTTGCTTCTGGGAGTGCAGAGCAACTTTACAAAAGGAAGCTATGAACTGACCTCCCCACCGTTTTCAGTCACTTTCCCTAAAAGTCCATCAGGATTCTGGATTTGCCCCAATCTGATCTCACTGATAATGGCAGTGTCTTAAACAAATACAATACTCAATACTCAATTTGTTTGAACAAGGAAAGACGCAGAACTCTCAGAGTCAAAAGACAAGTGTGCCAATAGTTCCCTTTAGTTTTTACTTGACATTATGAAACATTACGTATTCTCTACACACAGTTCCTGTGGTATTTTTAAGCTGCTTATAAATTACATAATACACACATACAATATATTCCCTGACACTTTTCTGCTTTAAGAGAGACCAAAATAAATTTATGTTTAGTAGCATGGGAGAGGACTATTTGGCAATTCTGCTTCCTCTCAGTTCCACTTTGATCAACTGGAATACACATGACTTTTTCCAGGCCTTACCTTGCAAAAAGGGAATACTGATTCCCAAAGTCAAGGTTGACTTGTATCTGACTTTTAATACAATAAAAATACAGAGTTTCACCTAGGAAATAGATGCATTTGGGTACTCAGGTGTTGCTTTTATCTAAGTTGTTCTATTTACTAGGTCAATAAAGACCTGGGAGTCAGATATTGGGGTGAAAAACCTGCCAGATCAGAGAAGCAACCAGCTGAACTTTCTGTTTGCCTGGAGACTCAGCAGGATAACTTCTTTCCATACCATCCAAAAACAAAAAGAACCGCGAATCTCTAAGTCCACCCTACTTCCTGTGTGTGTCTCTATCCATCTTCCCAGGTCCTCCAAATGCTCTATGGCTAATTCTTGTCAACTACTCACTGGCTCTGCCCCCTGCTCCCAGTTAACTTTATTAACGCAGTCTCAAAGTTTCACAGTGCGATCAAATATCCTGCAACACCCAGGACCTGAAGGTGGGGGATGGGGGAGTGTATTAAAGAAGATTTTAAATATCCAGAGATGTTTTATTATATAAAGAGCTATTTTAGATCTGGAATAATGGGCAGAAAGGGGCCATGTGGCTTTCACACAGACTAAGCTAAGTGATATGCAAAACACAGTGGCTTCGAGTGTCTTCCAAATATCAAGGTGCCTGCTTGTGTCCCTAGCCTTCAGGTGTGGATTCTGACTCTAGAAGTGACTGTATTGGCACCTAGATGATAAGAATATCCTTCAGCTTTCTTCCTTATTCGTAATGTGTGGGTCCCATGTGGTATAGATTGGTATCACTGAATGGACAGAATGATACACACCAGATGAGAGACACAGGTCTTTGTTTATCTAGGCTTCTTTGTTACTGTACCATAGCTTAGTATAGATCTCTTGAGCAGTGAAGAAGGAAGAAATAGAACTTGGAAGTGACTACTAGGATGCTATAGGCTGGATTGTGAAAACTCAGGAGGTGGACCCAAGCAGGGTTTGAATACGTTTGGTATTCATTAGATAAACATTTATTGAGCAACCTAATGTTTGCAAGGCACTGTGTAAGATTCAGAGATCTATTAAATCACACCTCCAAGTGCTTACAATCCAGTTGAGAAGACAATTCAGGTACATAAATTATAAGACAAAAGTTAAGAGCATGCTTAATAGAAACACTGAAGGCAGACCCATACTAAAGAGCTGGTTTCACCTTTTGTTGTCTAGGGTATGTTCCTAATCTGTCTAAACTTCAGCATGCTCATCTGTGAAATTCAGGTAGCAAAAGGATCTGTTTCACAGCATGAGGGCCAGCTGATCTTGTCCTTGAGTGGAAAGTGGTGGTTTGAATGAGACTGGCCCCCACAGGCTCTTTGAATGTTTGGGTCCCAGCTGGTGGGGTGTTTAGAAAGGATTAGGGAGTGTGGCTTTGTTAGAGGAGATGTGTCACTGGGGGTGGGCTTTGAAGTCTCAAAAGCCCATGCCAAGGTCAGTGTATCAGTGTGTCTGTCTGTCTGTCTGTCTGTCCCTATATCTTGGCCTACTGCTTGTGAATCAGATATGAACTCTCAGCTACTGCTCCAGCACCATGCTGTTGCCATGCTCCTTGCCACGATGGTCACAGAGTCACCCTCTGAAACTGTAAGCAAGCCCCTAGTTAAAAGCTTTCTTTTGTAAGTTGCCCTGGTTATCATGTCTCTACACAGCAATAAAAAAGTAACTAAAGAGACACCTGGCTTCACCTTGTGTCACCCAGAGTATGTCACCTAATCTCTCTAAACTTTATTGTGCTCACCTGTGAAAGTCAGACAGCAAAAGGACCTGTTTCACAGACTTAGTTAGAGGATCAGTCACTCTAGCTCTTCCAAAATCCTCTGCTGAGTGTTTGCCCCAGGATAAGTGCTTAGTAAGTGCTACCACTACTACCAGTACCAAGAGGGCTAAATGCTAGGGCACAAGAGAAAAAGGTCTGTGTTCCAAAAAGCTTCCGAAGGACTAAAAGCTATAGAAACTTCTGGAGAAAATGGTCTTCTCGCATACTTGTGACACTCGCCCCTGTAATAGCCTGCAGCTATTTCAAGGGCAGTGACAAGGGACCTACGTTCTCCTGAGGCTATGCCTGCAGCCTCCCCTCCTAACATCCATCCTGCTGCCTGACCGTCGCCCCAACTTCCTTTCGCAGTGCTGGGGATGAACAGCAGGCCTCACACTTACTAGGTGCTGTTCTGTCACTGAGCTACACCCAGCCCCCGTCCAAAGCTCTGAATCTGGAGATTCATGGTCTAGTTTTCCGCACTCCACATCAGTTCTGTAGCACAGTAGGTGTGCTGTTTACTCAGACACCGTGGAGCAGAGGTGGGACCCACAAGGGCAGCCGGAGTAGGCGGAAGGAGCAAAGGCTGGGTTTGTAGGTGACAGGGAGACCTGCCAAGTTTACAGGCAGGCCCTTTGCGTAGCTCACGCTTCTCCCCTGGTCAGTCCGTCCCTTGCTTGGCATAACGCCTCTGATGCTGAATAACTGAGGACTTGAAGCTGAACTCTTTTCCACACACACTACACTCAAAGGGTTTCTCCCCTGTATGGACTCTCTGGTGCTGTGTGAGCCGGCACCTCTGGCTGAAGGCTTTCCCACACTCGCTGCACTCATATGGCTTGTCTCCAGTGTGTATCTTCTGGTGCTGCGTGAGAGAAGAGCGATCAAAGAAAGCTTTGCCACACTCGCTGCACTGGTGGTGTGGCTCCCCAGCATGCGCTTTCTGGTGTCTGTTTAGGGAGGAGACACCGTAGAACGCTTTCCCGCACTCACTGCATTCATATGGCTTCCGGCCAGTGTGGATCAGCTGGTGACGGCTGAGAATGCTTTTCTGGCTAAAGGCTTTCCCACACTGCTGACATTCATAGGGGCTCTCCCCAGTGTGAATTCTCTGGTGGCGAGTAAGGGACGATCGGTCGAAGAAGGCCTTGCCACACTCGTTGCACTTGAAAGGCTTCTCTCCTGTGTGGATCCGCTGATGCACGGTGAGGGAGGATCGGTCGAAGAAGGCTTTGCCACATGCACTGCACTCGTACGGGCTCTCTCCCGTGTGGGCCATCAGATGTCTGCTGAGACTGCTCCTGTGACTGAAGGCCTTCCCGCACTCAGGGCAGGCATAGGGCTTCTCGCCGGTGTGAGTTCTCTGGTGGCGGATGAGTGAGGAATGGTCAAAGAAGCTCTTCCCACAGTCACTACACTCCTGGTCTTGGTGTTTAGTGAGGATTTTCTTGGCTGGGGCTGACCTCCGCTGCAAGCTTTTGTCCGAGGAAAGGGGTTTCTTGCCAGTCTCTGCTTTAGGACTTTCTGGTTCCAACCCACCTGCTAGTGCTTGGACTTCAAGTTCAGGGCAGAGAGGACTTGGCCTTCTACAGCTTTCTCTCAGCGTTCCTTCTGAAGCAGCTGGGATCTTGGGCTTAGTCTCCCAGTCTGCAACAAAGAGAAAACTCAGATGCAGTTTCTTCTCTGGACTGGGGGACAATGACAGAGGGGGAAGATGCTACGTCAGAGGTAAAGGTCACACTTGGTCACAGCACAGCTCACTTCCCAGACGGTCTTACATCCTGGGAAAGCCTAAGGCTTGGGAATAAAGGAGGAGGCAGGAAAGGGCTGCTACAACAGACTTCTCAGAACACAGGAGAACAGCTCTGGGAGTGGGGCCAATATCTTAGTTAGGGTAGGCTGAACAGAGACCTGGGAGACCAATAAAAAGAAAAGAGGTGTACACAGGCAAGGTGACAATTCTGAGAACCAAGCTGATGAATACAGATAACTAATATGTTGATGTATAAAAGGGGGAACCAGAGAATTGATGAGTAACAGGAAGGAAACATGCAAACAGACAACTTGAATTTGAGAAAGGGGTGACCCCTAATATTCCTCCATACCTAAATAACAAACAAGTTTGTTTACCTAGGGAGACATTCTCTTGCCATTCTTTCTCCTCAGATCCATGATGACCCTGTGTCCATGGCTCGTCCCTTCTCTTCAACTGAAGAATCACATCAGGTTGAGGCACGGGAAGCCCTGCTCATGGAGAAAACGTAAGGCAGGTGGTTGCTGTGATGAAAATACCTAACCATTCCAAAACTTAATCCTGGCATCTAAGCCTATACTCTTCCAGAAATGCAGAATGCAGACCCAAGACACCTCTGAGGGAAGGTCAGGACTGAGGCTCTTGAAAGGAAGTGACGCCAGGCACCAGGACAATGCCCACAGAAGTCACCTCTATTCACAGGCAGCCTACGGAAGCTCTCCATCTGGACACTGGCAGCATAGAGGTTCTTGGCTCCATACGTGAGAATAAGAAAAAAAAGGATCATCTTGACTGAAAAGCATAAAGAGGGAACTCAATTTTGTTTGTTTGCTCATATTTAGTATATTGCTTTAATGGAAAAAAATCAGTTGTATTCACTGTAGGAAAATTAGAGTTATCTTCAAGTAAAAAGGAAAAATCACCTTTCATGTTTTCTACTAATATTTCTTTCTTTTTCTTCATTTTGATGCTGAAAGGCCTTATATGTGACGTGTTAAAGACTGGATAGTAGGGGGCTGGTGAGATGTCTTATTGGGTGCACCAGGCCTGCTGAACTGGGTCACTCCCTAGAACCCACATGTTAAAGGAGAGAACCCACTCCCTCAAGTTGTCCTTTCATCTCCACACACATGCTCTTGAACATGTTATGCCCCAAGTAAATAAAGAAGAAATGTAATGAAATGTTACAAGAACTTTAAAAAATTGAATAAGGAAATACTGCTGACTTGTAAACTGAAGTTCTTTTCATGTAGTAAATTTAAAACATTAATTTTATTTAGCACAGATTTTCTACAATGTTTTAATAGCTATATGATAGTACATTGTATGGATAAACAATTTAGGAAATCCCTACCGACAGACATTTTTCTATTTTTAATGTTTTGCTATTAATACACAATAATAGTACGGAAACTGTCTCCTGGTGTGCTGTATGAACTGGCAATCCTATGACATTCCTTGGATCAATTTCTAGAAGCAATCATATCCATAGCCACATGAATAAAATTAGATCCCACTCCTGGAAACACCTGAGCTCTAGGTTCCCCATGCACAGGGTTCCACCTTGGGAGATAAGGGAGACAGGTATGTTCTTCCTGGGCCTGAGAAGCATCAGTCTGGTGTGTACTGGTTCCCTTTTTGGCAGACTGACCACACCCATCCCTTCCTGTGCCTTCTGGTCTTTGACCTAAGGAATTCCATACTTCTATGTAAGCCCCTGACAAAAAGTCAGGATCTTCCTTGATCCCAACCGAAAAATCTGTTCTGTTTGGGATATGACTTGACCTGATTAAGCTAGTTCAGAAGGTGATGATCTATGCGTGCGTGCGTGCGTGTGTGCATGCGTGCGTGCGTGCGTGCCTGTGTGTGTACATGTCTCATGCTAGGAAACACTCTACCACTTAGCTACATCCTCAGCCCACTATTGGCTTTTTGATATACATCTGCAACATGAATGTGACTGTTATCTGCTTTTGTATCTGGGTACTCCTGCTTCCAGCGTGGCCAAGACTACAGGTACACACCGCTGTGCTTGGCTTCAGCCTCTTATTCTGGAAGCTTCTGGGAGTTCCTTATTACCTGTAGGGACTTCACTTTACTTCACTAACAGTTGACATTAACAACAGCTCTTAATTTCCCCCTTGTCACATAAATATAATTACAAAGTGCCTTTTATGGGTATCTAAGATTGTCATTAAGACAAATTTTCAAAATCAAGCACATCTCTGATGACCTCTCTCCTTTTCACAAGGGCACTTCTTTGTCCTCCTCTGGCTTCCACGAAATGACAGGCATCTCCTCTCACCAAGATGGCTCCTTGTCTACCAGATGGAACTGAGGACATTACCTGCTGGCATGCCAGGAGAAAACCTGGACACATTAACTCCTGCTTGCTGTGTCTGGACAGCCAGGTCTGTACTCTGCCCTGTCCTCTAGACTGACTTCTGTTTTGTGGAAGCAAGCTGCTGAACAAGCAGGCCTGTGGTTGTCCAGTGCTGTTAACACCAGGCAGCCCACCTGTCCAGGGCTGGGGTCGCCAGCTAAGCACCTAAAAGCTGCCTTCTTTGGCGCTTTAGTCTGTCAGGTGAACTCAGGTGGAGGGGTCAAAGAGGTAGCAATCTCCAGCCCATGTGACCCACACTGGAAGCCTCCTTACCCAGTGAGATGATGCTCTCATAGTTCTCCAGCATCACTGCCTTGTAGAGTGCCCGCTGCACAGGGACCAGATGCCTCCACTCTTCATCTGTGAAAGTCACGGCTACATCTTCAAATGTCACCGACGTCTGAAAACACAACCACACCCCCTTACGACCCTTTTCTTTCTTGTCCGTTTTGCTTTTCTTGAGACAGGGTCTAACTCTGGGTGCTCTATAGCATGGACCACAAACTCCAGCCTAACCCAACACTCTTTGGTGTGTGGGGGCTGACTCTCAGTCCGTAACCGGCTGCACTAAAGGGACAATCAGGACGGAACCACTGATTCCAGAGTCCTCCAGGCAGGCCTGTTTTGTCAGCTTTGGGGAAAGCCACAAGCTCACGGTGCTGAAGGTCATCTTACTTTGGAGCCCTTCATTGGCCAAAGGGTGGAGGGTTGTAAAGGAAGACGCTCAGGATAAGGAAAGAGAAGTGACTACATTTTGGCATCAAATAACAGCAGTTCAGAAATAAAAATGCCCACCTCACCTGGCATCTGGTCGGTGGGGACACAGCGGCCATTCCCTCCTATGCGGTCCTGGTAGGGAAGAACAGAGGACCAGAGAGGAAAAAGGGGGGGGGAGGGAGAAGGTATGAGAACGAGCAGTTCTGGTCCACGAGGCAAGCTCCCCCCATATTCCAGTGAGCAATGCAGCACCTTACAAAGAGCAAAGAAAGCAAGGCCAAGGGCACTCTCTGCTGATTGCAGAGTTAGAACAAAAGCCATGGGCTTGGAAACCACAGCAGTGTCTGTTGTACCATTATCTTCAGGGCAGAGTTTTGTTCCCAGGAGTCAGAACACAGCAAGATTCATACGATATTTAGATATTCACATTTAATGTTGCCCTGAATGCTTAATGAGCTAAAGCCATAAGCAACTTTACAAATGACTATATGGACAAGATAAATAAAAACTGTAGCCTCTTTAGAGGAGTAGCATTCCATTTACAGCTCTTCCTAATGAAGCATCCATCTTTGATACTATAAGACTCTTTATCTCGTTTCTAGAACCACACTGATCATATCACATCTGGGCAATCAGTGAGTAACCAATTAGTAACTAGCAATTAGTGAGAAATTAACTGGCCTACTAGAAACATCCTTGTTTGCTTTCTCTTGCTCTGAGGAGACATTGACAAAAA